TGTGCTCTGCGAGAGAATTACCTAAAAGGGGTCGATATATATATATATATTATATTATATTATAGAAATATATAATATATTTTTATAATCTATAAACATATAGTGTTTTATACTATTAACATTCTAAATAAAACACATAATATATAGTCATAGGTTCATTTGATAAGTGATAAGTATTTGACAAAATATAAGAGTGATCTTAACCCTTCATTTGGTCAAGATTTGCGGGTTTAACTATGAAGTACCGAATAATTCCTCACATGGTATGCAGAAGATAGAGGTGGAAATGTCTCGTTTTTGCGCTTAATGCTTGAGATGTATTCAGAATGAGGTGGAACCTATTAACTGGGCAATGATTGTGTGGTTTAATCAAGGGATTCCAAAGCATGCCTTAATGTTGTGGATGGAAATGTGGCATAGGTTGCCGACTATGAAGAGGTGTTGGACCAAAGGTGTCTTTTATGTGGCATAAAACCTGATAGTCACTCCCATCTATTTTTTGAATGTTTGTATGCTTTTGTCATTTGGAACCGTCTAAAGTCATTGGCCCTCATGAACGATATCCCAAATACGTGGGATGCTATCATGTATTATTTCACTCCCATTGCTAATATTAAACTGGCTAAACATGTTATCCAAAAGCTTGTTTTTGCAGCTGTTGTGTATTATATTTAGCAGGAAAGAAACACGAGAATTTTCCAACAAAGAAGGCGCTTGGTGGAAGAGCTTAAGAAGGAGATAGTGGACATTATTCATGTAAGGATGTTGTCATTACGGTTCAGATGTAATCCTATGACTTACATGCTCATGGAGAGATGGAATATGTTGAGGATACAGGAAGAAATTTAGATGATTCTTGTTGGAGACTGGTGACTCAAAATGGAAGATCCAGTGTGAGGATATATGGGATAGGCCTAGAGTTAGTATATTTGTGTTTTATCATGCTTTTTTATTGTCATTGACTAACTTTAAAAAATCTAATGTTATGTGGTATAGAGGGTCTTCCAACCACTTGTTACTCTATTATATATTAGAGCACCTCCTAAATAACCTTAGGGCATGTCCGTTATAACGTCCATCACAAGAGAGTAAGTCTTCTAGTGGTTAATCTAGGACGCTGTGAGAAACTTTGCACCAGAGGGAAGCGTTATATATTATTACTTATTTATTCTCATTACGCTTTTTGACAAATGATTTATCTATGTCCTTCAGGCTTTATACTTGGTGGGTTAGCACTAGCTGACCAAATACACGTTCATTTGTCAAAGTATAATTTTCCTAGGTTGTCTCGTTTGTCTCGTTTGTCTCGTTAGGGTCTACAAGAGTTTTATAGAAACAATTTGTAGAAAGGGGGGAGGAATACAAACACAGGAAACTTCTCAAATTTAAAATATATATTGATAAAGAAGGATCAATACAAATTTTACAAGATTGTATGCAGAAAATGATAAGGTAAAGATAACCTATCTAAAACAATCTAAGTTTACAAGAAAATGATCTTAGCAAAGAGAAAATTTTGCTATAAAGACTAAGAAGGAAATAAGTTCTTTCTGGGTAAGAACTTTTTAGAATAATGGAAAGGGATTTTAACTTGCTTTGAAGATAAGCGTAAGCGTTCTTAGATGTGTGTGTGATCTCTTGTGTGTATGCATGTTGTTTGCATGGAGAGAACACTCATATATTTATACCCATTGCATTAAATGCACATTTAATGCAAAGCAATAGGGTTTCACCACGCATCATGCTTTTAGAGAAAAGTTTGTCCTTTTGCTACAGTGAATAGCACAAAAGCCTATTCATGAGCAGACATCCTTTCTCGGAGTTGGTGGGTAATAGAGTCAACTAATCGGCTTCGTACCATACTATACTCCAGAAAGGGTATGGGTTTGTCCTTTGTGTGTGGAAGAACAAGACAAAAGCAATCTTGCACAACAAGCTTCTTTTGATCGCTGAATGCTGGAATAACCCTGAAGGTCTCTTCAGTATTTGTTAAGGCTTGGGTAGTCTTCACACATATGTTGACCAGGTTGTAATCACTGAATGCCGCTTTAGATTACGAATGCGCTAGTCTCTAATCTTCATTTTCAGTCTTCGACTTTCGCTGAAGGTTCTTTGGTGTGAGTTTTGTCTTCTTGAAGTATCACTGTCGCTGATGGATTTACAATACATGTCTCAGTGATCACTGAACAGATTCAGTGATGATCGCTGGAACTGAAAGACAGAAACATAATACTACGTAATAGATAAAAGGTATTATCATGAAATTAATGAGAGAGAGGATCAACAAGCTCCCCCTATTTGATGATATTAAAGATGGGTTTAAAATTAGCTGATTGAGATTCATCAAAGGTGACATGAATAGTTTCTTCTATTGTCTGTCGACGTTTGTTGAATACTCTGAAGGTTTTGGATACTGAAGAATATCCAAGAAAGATTCTTTCATCAGCTTTGGAATCGAACTTTCCAAGTTGGTCATGGTTGTTGAGAATGAAACACGTGCAACCAAATATATGAAGAAAGCGAAGAGAAGTCTTTCTGATTTGGAAGAGTTCGTAAGCTGTCTTCTTGAATCTCTTAACGATCAACGACTAGTTTTGAGTGAAACAAGCAGTATTGACAGCTTTAGCCCAGAAATGAGTAGGAAGATGAGATTCGATGAGCATTGATCGAGCAACCTCAATGATTGTTCGATTTCTCCTTTCAGCGACCTCATTTTGTTGTGGAGTTCTCACAGAAGAGAAGTTGTGAGAGATTTCCTTGTCCTCAAAGAAGCTATCCATAGTACTATTTTTGAATTTAGTTCCATGTTCACTTCTGATAGATCGTATTTTAATATTGTTAAGTACTTCTATCATTTTGATGAACGAGATAATTTCTTTAGGTGCTTCACTTTCGGATCTAAGAAAAAATGCCTAAGTGTACCTGGAGTACTCATCAACAATGACAAGTGTATATTTCTTTCCAGCTATGGATTGTACATTGACAGGACCAAAGAGATCCATGTGCAATAGCTGAAGTGTAGAGGCCACTGAAGAGATTTGCTTAGACTTGAAGCTAGCTCTTGTATGTTTTCCTTTTTCACACGCTGAGCAAAGAAATTCCTTTGCAAAAGTGCGTTGAGGAAGACCAGTGACTATATCATTTCGAGACAGCTCATTGAGTGTTCTTGATAATGTTTGAGCAAATTATTCTATTTCTCATCTAAAATCTTAAATTTGTTGTTGTTTGATCTTGGTTTTGGTGTTAATATTGTGCGTATTGTTGTTTAGAGTTATTATATTCAAACAATTTGTGATTTTGGTTGATTAATTGTCTAAAATTTGAAGTACATGTTCCTTTTAACTGTTTTGGGATCTTTTTCAGTGAGTCAGTTTTTACTTAGTAAATTTTCTTAAGTTACACATTTAAAAAAAGGTATAAGAAGGGAAACTGAAACTGAAAGCATGTTCACTGACTTATAGATTGCGAGTGAATGTAAAAGAACATTGGAACTCATAGACATGTGTCCCTATTTTCAGGGATCTTTTTCAGTGATGCAAATGAATCACTTACATTAATTCAAAGAAAATATTACAAGTTGTTTAGTACATTTCTTAGACTTGCAATATACAAGTTGAACACTGAAAGTCGACATAGATTACAAAAGATATACAATGAATGGACAAATTACAAAAGAAATAACTAATCTAAGTTGCTCAGGTTGACGTAGCCAGATACTTCTTCTTCGAGCCCCTTTCGATGTAGAAATTCCTATCTGATCTTGCGGTCCATCATTTCACCGTAGAATTCATCATCTAGCCAGAATCTGATGTACGCAAGATGTTTCATCGGGCATAGATGTAACTCTAGCATTCTTTGAAAGCTGACTTCGCCTTCATAGTCAAGGAAGATAAATCCTAACTGAGGCCTTATATACACAGTGTTGGGTATGTAAGGACCCTTCGCTGGTAATGATAGGTTCAACATGGAAATGTCTGCCTTCTTCGAAGCCTTCAAGACTTCATCCAAGGAGAACTTTGTTTCATGTTCGTTCCTCAGTGTTGGTCCGTCATTAGGACTTGAAGGTCTTTTTCTTTTTCCACCTTTCTTCAGAGTAGGCTTTTCAGGGACAACGACATACCTGGACATCTTCTTGATCAGCTCCCTGATAATGTCTTTGATAATCGGCTTATGTCTTGATTTTAAGCGCTAAATGGCTTGCGGATCTCCAGACATTCACTGTAGCCATGCTCACCGAGGTAGGAAGGATACTCGGTGACTGCATCAGGGTTATCCCTTGTGATGAGCATTGAGACCAGCAACCCACCGTCTTTCATCCATCTGCTGATGGTGACATTTGAAATAGGATGGGGCTGACTCTCTTTTGTAAGCATTCTTCGCTCCATTGTCTGTCGCGCTTGGCTAGCTTTAGATTTTTCTCGCGTTCAGCTTCTTCAATAGAGAGAAGCTTAGCTAGGGCTTGGACAGCATTCACCATTTATTTAGATTTCTTCCTTGGAAGAACTTTGGCAGCTAGAGACTTGGCCAGCTTTAAGCTGGCCTCAGTCTGCTTACGTTGAAGTTTAAGTTCTTCCTCGGCCTTCAGCGCCTCAAGTATTTCAGCTTCTGTCAGGAAGTCAAACTCACCACAACTAGAGGTACGAAGAGGAATTTTTTACTCTAGTTTGGTCGAGTGACTCCCTTAGCTAAGACATCTACTGGTTGGTGGGAACGATGAGGGATGGGTTTTCAGGGACCCATTCCTCCAGCTGACCGCAGGTAGTAGTAGTAGGGATGGAGAGTTGATACATCGATGTTATGGTGCTAAGGCTTGAAGACTCATTTGTTAAAGGTTCTAGAGGTTAGATTAATACCTTTAGGTTGCCTTATTCAGCAACACCTTTGTCTTTAGACTTGGTGTTTTGGTTATTTGGTTGGGTAGACTCTTTCTCCCCTTGCTCCCCCTGGAATGCAGAATCCCTGAGGGCGACGCCTTTCGTGGCACCAGCAGGTCTCTAGTACTAAATTGTGAAGTCGTCGTCATCGTCGTCTTCTTCATCATCATCATCATCATCATCATCCAGGTCTTTGCCAGCGTCAGGAAGGTCGGAAGATTCAATGTCTACCTCATCGTCTTCTTCATCATCATCTTCCATATCACCAGCATTAACTACAAAGTTGATTGGAAGGTTATTGTCACGAGCTTCAGTGTTAGGTCGGACGACATCAACATCCTCAACTACAGGAGCTTCACAGGAAGTTGGATTTTCATCAGCGACATCAACTTCAGCTTTAACTCTAGGAGCTTCAGCTTCAGCATCGGTCACTGGAACAATAGTTTCAGGGGCACATCAGCAGTATTGGAAGGAGCAACTCCAAACTGTGTCTACCCCTCTTTGTCAATGACTTTCGTGAAATAGCCAAAGAAATGGTCAACAGTTTGGATCTGGAGCGCCATCATCTCTTCGACTCTAGTCATAGCGCAGGCTAAGAGAACAGCAGCCTCACGTGTGTCATCTAGTTGTGCACGGTCACCAGCAGTGAACGATGGTTCAGGTGCCAGGATTGGCTGTTAGAGAGCAACCAAGATCTGATGCATCACCTATGTATGTTTGGGAAGGTGAGAGTTTGCTTCATCGGCCTTGCTCGTTAAAGCGTTGACGGCCTCAATGTTGGCTTGAATAGCCACTTGCATAGAGGAGAGTTGGTTCTTGACCTCTTGTACTTTAGCCCGGACAGCTAAGAGGTCAGCAGCTACTTCGTCCTTTTGAGGCATGCCCTTATGGACTTCGTCCATTTTGATGAAGATAGTCTCAACGGCAGGGAGGAGCAGCTTTACATCTTCAGCCATGTCGTACTCTTCTCCCATGGCTGGTTCTGTAAAAGGACCTGAAAAAGATGAAGGGTGAGCATAAGAAAGCTTGGGGTTAGTAGAAATGAAAAGGTAGGAAGATGGAGTACTTGAGGGTTCTTCAGCGTTATCTGAAGGATTAATGCTGGTGCGCTCCATGGTGCCTTCGAGAGGATAGGAGCCTGTTTGCTGATATGCTTCGAGAGAAGCAATCTCAGGTCCAGTGGTGGGTGTTTCATCATCATGGAGGATATTCGCTGATGAATCATGAACACGAGTAGAGACCAAAAGATGGAGGGGAGGAGAAAATGGCTGAGACTGATGGTCGTGAGTGTTCAGCAGTGAAGATGCTGATATTCTCACCTTCAGTGATTTGGGTCACTGAAGCGGTTGGGAAAGGAGCCATGGGTACGACAGTGATGTCAAATATCACTGAAGAGCTAGGAAGGCTAGCTGAAAGTGCCTCGGGGGTAAGGCTAGTTTCAGTAGCTGAGACCATTTTAGAGGTCACAGCTAGAGACGTAGTTATCCTAATTTTTGGTCTTCTTGGCCTCAAAGGAGAACCAAGAGTTGATTGAGAGGATGGGCATTTGGGAGAGAGGGTTGTGGTGGTCGGTTTAGACTTAGGGGGGTTTTCCTTCGTCGTAACCACCTTAGAATAAGAAGAAGAAGAAAGAATTGAAGAGTATTGCACAATAGCAGAAAGTGCAACATCTCCATCCCTCAACTTGTGATCCAGAATCCTGGATCCAAGCTTGCAGATAGGAAGGTTACCTTCCTTGGAGTACTTCTCGTCGAAGATCTTGGAAAACACCATCGAGAGGAATCTAGTGTAGGGAACAACCTTCTCCCTCTGGCGTTTGTTCAGCTTTAGCTCTAGGTCATCGAAGATCACTGCAGCATAGTTGATGGGTCGAAGGTGGATGGCAGACATGTCGATAGTGAGAGCCACCCTAGATTCTTGATCTTGTCCTCCAGTCTTTCCACCCATGCTCTGGATGAAGTGAGAGAAGAGGAACTGCCACACCGTTGACTTGCGGTTCTTCTCTATCTTCGACAGCGACTTGAGAGGCTCGCTGGAGTCTTTCTTCATTGGCCATGCGTAGCCAATATCATCGAGGCAAGCGATGATGTCTTCCGTCTAACGATCCCTGGTGAATGGACCATTGGGAAAACAAAGAGTGTGCCTTAGCGTTGCCACGCCAAAGCTGACAGTTATACGGTTGAAGGTGAAGGTGATTTTCTCCACCTATTAACCGTTTTTGTCAGTGTCCTGTACCACTTCAGCAGTCATCCAGAATTGCTAAAGGGCTTCCCTCACCATGACAGGTTCATGGGTGAGAGCGAAGGCGATAGGAGACATTTTCAGGAAGACATCAGCATCCTCGTAGATGGTTTTGTTGGTAGGAATGTCCAACAAGGTGACGTGGTTGTTAGCCTTGAAAAACACGTCTTCAATGGAGAAGTTCACGTTTTTGTCGGTCATTTGTCTATTATAGTTAAGAAATAAGATATAACAGTTTTTCTTAGTAGTCCAAGATTAGAGTGTGATGTTTTTAAGTTTTAGAACAATAAAACTTCTTTTGAAAAATCCACAAAGAAGATATTAGGGTGTTTCAAGAAGAATAATGTTTTTGAAACTTTAGATTATAACCAAGAAGAAGAATGTGTTATTAATCTTACTGTTTGTGTTTTAAGAGAACAAAGTTCTTAAAGAAACAAACATAGTTTCATTAGAAGAAGAATAACAGTTTAAAGTTAAAGAAGAAGTATCGACCTTAGAGTTGTTAGAGAAAAAGATCGAAGGTTTCGAGCGTTCTTAGGGAGTTCTTGCTTGCAAATTCTTTTTGGTAGAGGTTCGTCAAAGATTTTTGTAAGCGTAAAGAAAATATGAGAGGAATGGTCTCACATTTATAGGTAGGAGGAGAGAGAAAAGAAATAGGAGAGAAGAAAATACGACTGTTGAGGAAACGCCATGATGAAAAATATGGCACGTTCTCATCCATGATTGGATGGAAGTTGTAAGAGGTCGCGTGTGTCAGACTTTTACGTACGTCTCAAAGCGACTCGTATTGATATCAGAGAATGTCGTCATAAAGACGGTTCATTAACTATTTCTTTTAAAATGAAAAGGTTATAAAAAACTCAAAGAGTCACATTCAGTGATAAGAGAATCATTGAATAAAAACCTTTTAAAATATTTGATCACTGAAGAAGAAAAACTTCAATGATGATTTTGTTTTAAGAAAGGAAAATATTTTAGGAGGATATATTTCCATAAAAGTGTTAGTGATAAGAGAATCATTGAAACTATCTTTTAAAAACTTTTGAATCACTGAAAGAGAAAAGGTTCAGTGATCAATTTGATTTTAAGAAAAAGATAAGTGTAGTAGAGATATACTTACTTAAAATGTTCAGTGATAGAAAGAATCACTGAAACAATCTTTTAAAACGTTTTGACTACTGAAGAAGGAAAGCTTCGGTGATAGTTTTAAGTTTATAGAAGAAGAGCTAGTATACATACCTTAGAGTGAATATATACATTTACTCAAGTGTTCAGTGATAGAGTGAGAACACTGAATCACTTCACTTACTGATTGATGCATATAGCTGAAGAAAATTAATCTTTAGCGTTTAGCATTCCAAGTTCGCTGATCAAGATGTTAAATCTTGTCTCATCAAGAGGCTTAGTGAAAAGGTCAGCGAGTTGGTAATCAATGGGAACAAAGTGAAGTTCAATATCACCATTCATAACATGGTCTCTAATAAAATGATATCTGATCTCTATATGTTTGGTCTTAAAGTGAAGATAGGGTTGTTTGCTATTGCAATTGTTAGGACTGAAATTCAGTATTAAATTGTATTCGTCTTGAAAGATAAAAGTGTCTATAATTGTACAAAAGTCATCATGTTTGACTTTTATTAGGATAGTTTGACTTTGACTATTTTGTCTAGTTTGACCCTATATAAAGGGTGTTTGGCTTTGTAATTTGTGTAGGATGCTTATTGTAAATTCAGTATGCGAATTGTAGAGTTTGACCAATATATGAGCATTGACTTTCTCTCTCTCTTCTCTAAGTGTTCTTAATAGAAAATATCATTCTGCCATTGATGATTTGATGCTTACATGAAGATTGATCAATATGGAGACACACAATTGGTATCAGAGCAAGTTTGCAGGAAGATTGATTGAAGAAATTATCAAAATCTACACAAACTTTCTGGAAATTCATGATTTATGCTTGAAGTTCATCATTGTGTTCTTGATTGTTCATCCTAGATCTACCTATTATTTTTTTTTAATTTCTCATTTGTGGATGTTTAGGTGTTAAAATTGTGATCATTGTGTTCGATTTTACATCATGATTCATTATTGTTCTTTTGATTTTGCATTTTGATCACCGTTTTTAAAGATTTGAAGTGTTCATAAATTTTGGTGTTCTTCATGTTCTTGCAAAATTCTTCAAAAAGTTAGATTTTAATCCAAAAAAAATTTTGTTTTATAAATTTTGTGTTTGTTTGATCTAATTTTTGGTAGTCATTTTTTTGTTTGAATCTTGTTAAGACATCCTTCATTCTCGCAGCATTATTTTTTTGTGACAGCATGTTGAGGGATTTATTTCTTTGTGATTGAGCAGATTAGAAGCTGGTATTGAATGGATAAGGATAAGTCTACATTTTGAGCGGTTTACAACTATGTGTTAACTGATTTAGAAACTGTTTTGACCAAGTTTAGATATTCATTGCAGTGACCAGCGGATAGAAGCTGTACTTTGTGCGATTTACAACCAAGTTTTGACTGAATAGAAGCTGTTTATTTAGTTTGCAGTATTGTCCAAGTTAAAAACAATTTGTTCAGTGGTTTAGAGGCTGTAAGCTTTGAGCGATTTAAGCTCAAGCTTTGAGCGAATTAAGCTCAAGCTGTGAGCGATTTACTAAATAGTAGTGAGCGGACTTGTGACCGGATTAG